ATATAAATAACTCAAGATCAGGAACTAAAACCCTTTAGAGATGAATCGATAATACCACTTTCCTATCAGCCAAATATAGTGCTATTAGAGTTCTGAAAAATTAAAAGAGAAGGCCATTGTTGGTTGATTATTGTTTTTAAAAGTCTATATTTTTGATGTAGCCAAGTGCTAAACACTTAGGCCTGTGGAACAATGAAGGACGAATAAGTAGCTGTGATATATACACTGTGACTGTACAGACCTCACTGGCTTAGAAAGCCCTTTCCAGACAAGGGTGTGGCTGTGAAACTTGTTTAGATTGAGCATGTTGATAAGCTAAATTTCCAAGTGTCTTAATTTTTCATAGAATATATGTTTTATTTATCTTCTGATCTGTGCCTTTTTAAGAGTTTTATTCTTTCTTGACTTTGGTTGAAATGATTACACACCGATTCTTACCCTCATTTTCAGAAAGATGTACATCTACGTAAGTACCAGGATAAATTTAAACGTTGTGGTTAAACCTGATTTTAAACACATTTTTCTAGGGCCTGAATGTTTTTAAATGCTTAATGCTTAAACACTGTGGCGGGAGTGCGGTATACAGTGGACAGGAGATTTTTAGGATGATTCTTAGAATGATTCTTAGAATGATTAGCTGTTTAGTTTTGTTTTTTTCTTGACTGAAAACCCTCAAATTAACAGTCTTTTAAAACTAGAATAAGATGTATACCCATAACAAATTACTGTTAATTGCACTTAAAAAATACAGCATTAAAGTTTGCTGACAAACCTTTTCTAGGACCAAAAATCTAACGTTTTACATTGGAACGAATTTACAGGATAAACCATTCCACTTGCCTCATTGTTTTCTGCCTCTATGCCTATTTTGCTATGCAAAAGCTTTATGTCAATTTACTTTTTGAGCCGTTTAAGACCAAACCAAATTATTCCTTCAGAACATTTTAAACAATCCCTTAAAGACCTCTTTTTCTTGGCTATGTTTCCAATCTTGGCTTATCACTGTAATATTTCATGCTCCATGCTTCTGAAAAAATTCAATATTCAAGAACAAAGTAATCCAGAGCTTTACTTCATTTCAGTCTTTTTATGTCCTAGGGCTGTCCCAACTCAATGACCCAGTTTTTATTGTGTCACATCTGTCTGTGCTGACTGCGACCAGCTTGCCTAAGCCTTTTCCTGTCCCTTATCAGTTTTCCCTTAATTCAAAAAAAAAAATTTATTTTTTAAAATTCTTTGTACTTCTCCTTTCACAGCTTTTAGATTTTTTCCTCCTTAGGAGACTCTGTTACTGTGGTAGCTACTCAGAAACACAAAGATGAGTGGGTGACTAAGGTCTCTAAGTCTTTCCTTGTCAAAATTTTCATTGCAATATCTTTAGAATTACAGAAAGTGGATATTATAATTTGGCAATATGCATCAACAGTCCTCAAAAATGTTCATACCCTATGATCCAGCAGTTTCACTTCTGAGACTCTAGCTTACTAATTAAAAAGAATCATCTAAGATATGGAAAAAAGCTGTATACATGAGATGTTCATTACAATGTTATGTATTGTTGGGGAGTTCTTTTGCTCGGTCTAATAATTAAATTGATGCAAACAGATTAATAGGAAGAAAAAAACCCCAATTTAATTCATATGCACAGAGGTCTCATAAAAATGGAATCCTCGAGGTGAACAAAGCAGGCTGTTTATATATTATTTTTAGACAAGGAAACAATTATTTGTGAAGATTTAACAAAGGGGCTTGTGCTTGGGGTAGCAGACTAATGAAGAGGTAACAAAGTTTGTCTACAGAGTTTTCTTAGCCTTGAATTTCCTAACTCTGGTGATAAGGATGCTTTCTATCCTCCTGGTATAAGGAGGATACTTTCACATGGGAGGTTATTTCCTGCTTTCATGGGGAAAGAGGGGGTTAGAGTGTTTTTCTATATCATTTTTTCTCCACTGGCTTAAATTCAAACTAATCAATATGTCATTGTAGCATATCTTGGGGCAGCCTGCTCTGAGGCCCAACAGTATAAATGCAAAAGAAGAAAACAACCCAAATATCCAACAATAGGAGAGAAGTTTAATAAATTACTGTCTATCTACTTGATGGAATATTGTGCAGTCATTTAGGATAATGGTCATGTTGACTGTGTAGAAAGATAGGTAAAAATTTATAATGTTTTCAGAAAAGCAGGGTGCAAAGTCGTAAGTGCTGGTGGTCACAGCTATGTTTTAAAAAGCATTTACAACAGGAAAACTGCAAGGAAAGAGGACATTTGCTAATACTTGTTATTTTAGGGTATGGAATTATAGATGATTTTTCTTTCCTTTACTCTCAAAATCTTGATTCAAATTCTTTTAAAATTTAAGTTTTTGAAAACTATAGTCTTCACAGATGCAAATTAATAACTATTCAGATATGCCACATCAAATAAAATTTATAAAAGACTATTTCAGATAGAGCTCTATTTAAGTCTGATAATAATCTAACAATGGCCAGGGGATGGGGGTGGATAAGATAGTGAGTACGTCATTTTGTTTACCATTGTGTGTAATCCCCAAAAAGATACATTAGAAAAAAAATTTTAATACCTATTTTAAAATATAAAATAAAATTATTTAAAAAAAATCTTAATAGGTTCTACTCAAGTTTATTTTACTGCCACTGACTTTATCCAGGCCAGTTTGTTCTCTCCAAAGTTGCTTCATCAAGTTCTACCTCTAGCCCAACCCTTATAGTACATTTCCCACACTGTTTTCAGAGAAATCTTTCTGAAACCTAAATGTATGTGATATTTCACTGTTTAAACTATTCAGGGATTCAGAATATTAGAGTTTTTAGCTTACTAGCTCCTCCCAAGCTTCTCTATCTGATTCTGTGTCCTTTCTTCTCATGCACCCTTCCCACCAGTTTTATCAAACTACATGTAATACCTGAAGCAGTACTCAGAGTCACTATTGCTTCTGTCTTTTAATACTGAAACTAACACTTAATACCAGCTCAGTCTTCAAATCCCAAAGTGTTACTTTCTTTGGGAAGCCTTCCCAGATTCCTCATCTTTTATGTATTCTCTGTAATCCTACAGTGCTATCCCTGATTTGCCCATCTGCTTTTTCCACCAGACAGTAAACGTCTTGTTATTGTGTGCACGGGCAAGCGCAAGCGAGTGTGTATGAGCAAGTGTGTTTAACAGCACTCCCTGCCCCTCCCGCCCCATGTCCCTTCCCTGTGCTCTGACAATGAGAGGAACAGTGATTGCTAAATGGTGTTGATGAAGGGCTAGTGTGCTAATCCTGGACACCAAATGCTAGGAAAAAAGAGAGGAGATGCACTGGAAGCCAAGGACTGTTAGCTGTCAGGTACGTATTAGGTAGAAACTCATTCACTGCACCTCCCTGATGAAGTTAGACTTTACTTCCAACGTTGTACCCCTGAGAACAGGGAGCACATTTATGTGTCTATGAACTCTCCACTCTTCCTTGTACATACTAGGCATTCAAACATATGTTGATTAAAATCCAATTTTTAAAAATCATTCCGATTTACAGAAATTCACATCCACCTTGTCTATAATTAGGAAAAAACCCTGGAAAAAAAAATATGTGAAAGACAAAGTGTTTGTGAAGCTCAATGTCCTAACTAGAAAACTTCAGAACAGTGCTGTGAACCCTGAAGAGGAAGATGTAACTGGAATTAAGGATGGGCAAACTTATTCAAATAAAATAAAAATAAGGACTGCCTAAACTCCAAATGTGCTGACACACAAAATCAAATATCTATCTTGATTTTCGTATGCTTACATAGGGAACCAGCTATACTCCAAAAGAAAATATTGGTTCAGCCTAACACAAAATCATGGTTTTATTGTTTAGACAAAAAACAAATAACTTGGTCATGTTCTCAATGGATTTTCTTAGTTTCTTTTTTCTCATCCTTATTATATCTGTATTTTAAGCAATATGGCTATTAGAGCAAAATTTTTTTAAAATTTTAATAAGTTGAATACATTTTCCCCCAATTTTTATAGTTGTTAAAATTTTTGATTATCACTCTTAACATTTTAGTGATTACTCTTTTAACCTTAAAGTTTAAATGTTTCAGAGGCTCTGATATTTAAAATAAAACTCTGGAAACAACTATTAAATAGAAAATTCTTTCTTCATCATCCCCTTAATTTATCTGCTATGTAGATTTAGTGTTCTTATTTTATATTTTCTTATAAACTCACCTATCTATTCCTATCTGGAAACAAATGCAACAAATATGTTTTAGTAAACTATCCAAACAGAACTCTATTTTGAATTTCAAATTATTGGAATATACCTAGTGACAGCTTTGGTATAGGGGAAAGGCTAATCAGCCAGTGCATGGGGGTAGAAAAATTTGACTGAACTTTATATATAATAATAGAAAGAGCATAAATAGACTGGTCAGGTGTGATTAAGAGTTGGGAAATAAAAAAATTTTCAAAAATTAAGCAATATAAGAATGTATAAGGCACAGCATGGAAGTCCTAAAATAAGCATGAATTACAGAACAGGAAGATTAGAAAGAATGATTTTTAAGGTAGCTACAACTATCTCTCAGTAAAATACATTACTTATAAAGGCACATTTCCCTATAGGACAGAAAACATTATATCCCTTAAGAAAATCCAATAGTCACTTAAAAATAATGTTCAGATACACCCAAGCAAACTCTGTAATAAAAATAACAAACCCACAGCCCAAAAGAACTGTACAAGATAGGAATGATTCCTACAGATACTTTAACATAAATATTTTATACCTTATTGTAAAGACATTTTACACACCACCGCCATAAATACCAAACACGATTTTATTTATCTACTTATTTATTTTTTTGAAAGATTTTTTTGATGTGGACCACTTTTAAAGTCTTTATTGAATTTGTTACAATATTGCTTCTGTTTCATGTTTTGGTTTTTTGGCCGTGAGGCATGTGGGATCTTAGCTCCCCGACCAGGGATCAAACCTGCATCCCCTGCACTGGAAGGTGAAGTCTTAACCACCAAACTGCCAGGGAAGTCCCTGAACACGGTTTTATGAAAGTAACAATTTTAGAATAAAAACATTTCTTAAATAGCATGATAATCCACCTGTTTTCTTCTTAACCTCAGCATAACAGCTAAAACCCTAGCAGACATGAAAATTTGGTGTCTTAGTTTACAAATGTAGTCTAATACATCGGAATACTGACAAGCATTTCCACACGCTTCAGACATACTGCCAACACATAGATAGCCAACAAGGTTAAAAGAAATATACACATTTCTAGTTATAGGCACTAACTAGAAATATTACAGTAAAGATGTAATGCCACCAATACAGGTTTTTACACACCTGAAAAAGTCAACAACAACAAAAAATTTCAGATATTTGACATCAGGTAGACAACACGTAGGCTTTAGGGTTGATTTACTGCTTTCATGTGATGTGCAAATAGTCTTATCATTGCCCCCAACCTTGGAATTTCAGAGCCAGAGAGCATACAGTTCAAAACACTTGCTTTATCCTTTTTCTCGTGCTAGCCCTCTGGTGTTTTCCTAATTCCTGCAGTTTTCTAGAATGATCTTTCAGATTTTCACTCAACAGCACTGGGTCAAATCTCTTCTATACAGGATCTCACTCTTCTCATGTCTCCTCTGCTCACAGAGAGCCGGTCAAAGTCTTGAAGGTGGAAACGAGTTGCCAACTGATTTACCATTTTCCTTAGGGTAAGAAATGCTGAAACAACTTGGAAAGTAAGGAATATAGTGAAGATGATATGTACTGCTTTTTCCAAGGGCAGATTCGTTAGGCCTTCATTAAAGAGCAAGAATAGAATTAAAGGCAACTGCAATAGAAGGCTCAAAAGCCAAAAGCCAGCCAGCTCAGGAACCTGCAATGACACACATGATGAGTATCAGATCAGTGAAGTACAGTCTTCTGTTTGCATCAATGAGCAAGTGATACTACTTGATGGCACTACGGTAAATGTGCATTTTGAGCTCTGTAAATCAAAAGAAGTACAACATGGTCCTTATCCTCAGAAAACTTACAGTCTAGACTGGAAGATAAAACTTACTTATGGGACAGTCCTAGAATACTACAGTGAATAATGAAATGCACCACTTAGCATTATAGACTAAATGCTACAAGAAATAAGACAAGAGGGTAAGTAGGGTAGGTAAAAGACAGAATTCAAGGAGGTAGGCTTTTAAAGTTGGGTAGAAGGAGGAAGAGGCAAGAACTTAAGTAAGCAAAGATGTGGAATGAGTATGACTGGGAAACAACACATCACCTGGAATGGATGCTTGGATTAGGAAAAAACAAGAAATACTTGGGACAGTATACAGTGGGACAGGCCCTTATGAAAGGCCTGAAAGAACACAGAAATCTTTAGGGATTATCCCTAAATTCTGGTAACTGTAAATGCTTAGGCAGCATGATGATTCAGAAAACATGAGCCTTGCAGAGGAAATGAGTTTATCATTTCCCCCCATTCTCTTATTCAGGATCTAAATAATCACGTTTAATTGACCAAGTATTTTCAAGACTGGTGAGAAGAGGGAAAACTATCACTTCTTAAGTGTTTACTATGTTCAGGTACTTTATATAAATTACTTAATCCTAACAAATCTGTGAAGTAAATATTTCCCCAATTTTATATGCGAAGAAACCAAGGCTCAAGAGATTAAGCAAACAGACCACAGTGACAGATGTGGTGAAGTTGGAGCTAGGCCTTAACTACAGGCCTTTGTTCCTTCCATCACATCTCACTGCCTTTTCCTTGTTAGGAAAATCTTACTGCATTTATGTGTAGCACTGAGAGAAAGGAAAGAAGAGCCTACCTTCTCCTGCAGGTTCCCCATGTAGCCCAGATACAACCTGATAGCTTCAATTAAGGTTATTAGGATGATAACGGTGACCACAATGAATTTGTAGTAATCAGGCAAGATTGAATACTAAAAAAAACAAAAAAAAAACATGTTCATAAAATCTCACATATAGTAAGACTGACCTGAGATTAAAAAAAAATATGAAGAACTTTAATTTTATTGACAATGTAACAACGCTAGGGACGGCAGAAGAGACCTCAGCAGAAGTAGTAAAGTGTAGATTTACCTTCATCTGAAGCATCGTAATGCTGCTCACCCACCAAAGTGGGAAAAAATAAGTGTTAAAATAAAGTGACATCTGCAATGCCAAACTGGAAACCATTTCATTATCTACGGAAGAAAGAGAGAGAAAAGGAACAAACTCTTAACCCTGGTCTCTGCCCTATACGTCCTTAAGTTCCTTAGAATTAATAACCATAGCAGCAGCTTAACGAAACTCCAAATTTTAAGCCTATTTATAATCATTGACAGTGAAAGGAAATAGTCATCATAATACTATTTAGTTCCTATGTTGGCTACTTGGGGGTGTGTTTCATATTTTTCAATTACTTTATCATTTTCCCATTACAGTCTGCTGACTTTTTTGCATACTACTGGTATAAATTAAATGTGGAATATCAATACGAATCCTACTGAACAGATAACAATAATAATCATTACCTCCTTTGTAGAGTTCTGTGTAAAGAGCCTATGAAATGAACACATAAAATACGTAACAACTAATCTCTCACATATAAACTAATCTCATGCAAAATCTAACCTCCCCAAATTATAATTAAACAGACACCCCTTTTCAGCATATCCTAATCCTACCTGTTCATTCATATCCAATTCAATGCCACTTTTTCCATAAATCCTTTCTTGATCCCATTCCCCCACTCCAGCAGAAATCTCTTTCCCCTCTAGGTACTTATCACTCTAGTCTGTGTGTAAGAAGTGCTAGCAAAGAGCCACACTCCCCTCACTTGAGACACAATCTGGTTACTGAAGAGACAATGAGCTCTGGAGTCCAAGTAAACCCGGAGCCCCCCAGACTCCCTCAGAACTCTAGATGCCAGACTTGGAATAAATTATTTAACCTCTTTGAGCCTTAATTTATTCACCTGTAAAACAGTAACATTAAAATTACCTCACAGGTTGCTTGTGAAGATTAAGGATAATATAAATTACTTCACCCTAGCACTATGCCTGGCACTTAGTAGGCACTCAATAAATATGAGTCCTTTTTCCTTCTCTTTTACTTATACACAGGCTCATTGTAAGTACAGACCACATTCTACCCAAATTTGAGGCCCTCATAGAACCTAGCATCTTGCTTTACACATGGAAAATACCAAATATGCATAAGCAGAAAGAATGAATTAATGAATTCATTAATGAATGAATGAAAACATACTATTATAAGGGCATTACCAGTGTAGCCATTCATGATACATGAGTTTCATTTATCTAAGGCTGATTACATAGTACCTTTTGCTTTCATATAAGGGAGAAGGGTCCTAAATTAAGAATTTGATTTTTTAAATTGGGCCCTACAAATGCATCCTCAATTTGACTAAATTCCAACAATTTAAGAGCAGATATATATTTTGAAATCCACTGCTCTAAATGAAAGAATTTACAAAGGCTCTAAAATAAATATTTTTTTAAATTAATTTATTTATGTAGTTTTGGCTGTGTTGGGTCTTCGTTGCTGTGCGTGGGCTTTCTCTAGTTGTGGCTAGCGGGGGCTACTCTTGGTTGTGGTGTGTAGACTTCTGATTGCGGTGGCTTCTCTTGTTGCAGAGCTCTCGCTCTAGGCGCGTGGGCTTCAGTAGCTGTGGCACACAGGCTCAGTAGTTGTGGCTCGTGGGCTCTAGAGCGCAGGCTCAGTAGTTGTGGCACACAGGCTTAGCTGCTCCGTGGCATGTGGGATCTTCCTGGACCAGGGCTCGAACCTGTGTCCCCTGCATTGGCAGGCAGATTCTTAATCACTGCACCACCAGGGAAGCCCCTAAAATAAATTTCTTAAAAACAGATTTTTATGTCTTTTTCTCCGCATCTGAGTATTTTATATCTATCATTTAACAGTTTTAAAATATAAGATAGTCATGGTCTCTCACAGCCAGGTTTTTCCTTTAGCTCCAAGAATATCCCTGATTATTATGTCTACTTTTGCTTGCACCCATTTATTAAATTACCACTAATAAAGGAATGCATTCTTACAGTCTGTTAAATCTGAAGGTAACTCACTTGCCTAGGATTTTCTCATAACAATAGTACAACTCTTGGTCAGCTGTGGTCATAATACACACTTGCAATTACAGTACAAATAATCAAACCTAATTCAGATCCACAAGGAAGAAAATGTGGAAAAATAGTGATAAATTAGTTAAGCTGAAAATTTTAATACCTTTAGAGCAAACACTGTAGTCAAATTTTGCGAAGTTTTTATGTTAAGAATTTTGTACATGAGCATCTTAAGAATTATGTCTATATTTCAGCAGATCAAACTTACCATCATGCAGTTGAAAATCAAGTTAATATGTAAATTAACCTTGAAAGCACAAGACATGAATTTACTAAATTCTGCAAAAGTACAAGTTGACTTCTGTAAACGGAATTTAAATTAAAACATTATGTAATATAAATCAGGGGTGGGCAAACTACCAGCCAGCTGCCTGTTTTTGTACAGCAAGTGAGCTAAAAATGTTTTTTCACATTTTTAAATGGTTGAGGAAAAAATATCAAAGAATAATAATATTTTGTGACACTGAAAATCGTGAAATTCAAACTTTAGTGTTCATAAATAAAGTTTTATTGGAACACTGCCATGTCTATTCAATTACCATTACCTATGACTTCCACAGAGACCTACGGCCTGCAAGGTCTAAAATATTTACTATCTGGCCCTTTACAGAAAACCCCTGATACTTTATATCATCAGATTTTAGTGCCTTGGCTTTAGAATCAAAAACATAATAACCTAATTTTTCACATTATGTTTTTCTCTGTACATCCTAAATCAAGACCAGGCCTAAATTGAGAGGACAGGCAAGTAATCAGGGTGAAAAATTGAAACGATGGGAAATGACTTTTCTTTGCCCCCTTTAAAAAATCCCTAAACCAAGCAAGAGGAAAAGATTTCTATTTCCCAGCACAGTTCAGTGATAAAAGCTGCGTGGGTTTGGTTGACAGTATGTTGTCTATCATGATTTAAGAGAGGGAAACTGTTTTGCAGAAAACTGCGTTGTCACTTGTCATGTTGGATGTAGCATCGTGGTATTTTGTTACTTGATTTAGGACAAGAAGTATAAATAGGGGATGGGAAGGAGAAGGCAGGGAGAGTGCGAGTTTTGTTGAAGGCGTTGCTAGAGTGGCAGGTGCCACTCTGTATTGGATAGCGTTTAAAATAAAATTTCTTTCCATGTCTTCTGCCAGAAAATGGACTTGTGGTGGAAAGTACTTGTTCTGCTAGGAAAGGAGAAAAGGAAAAGATATTTTACTGGGGTAGGGGATAGTAAGTGGAAAGAAGGGATTGCCTGGGCTGTTTCCACTCCACCCTGGCCAGAAAAGCCAGGGCGAATGCCGTAGAGGAAAAGCAAAGTCGGCCTTCTCAGTGTTCTCGGAGGGCAAGGGACCGGACGCGGGCTGCGAAGGCGGCTTTTATATTCTTTTTGAGGAAGGCCGGCGCCACCTCAGCCGCCCCGCTTGCCATTAGCCGGCCAGGTCACAGCACTATCAACCCGGAACCCTCTGGGTTACGGGGCCGGGGTATCTGGTCCCCATCTCAGCCCCATCCCTCGGCCTGGCCCCTCCTCCAAGGAGCTTCCCGCACTGCGGAGAACCACCTGAAGGCGAAACCGCCATCTTAGGTCTGGGCAAAATCTGGCCGCTCCAAAACCCGCGCCAGGTCTTCCGAGGGCCACACGTCCTGCGCTGGGCCTCCGCCACTCACCCGGACCCTCGTTATACTCCGGCCCGGTCCGGCTGGAGTCACTGAACACGGTCCGGCTGAAGCTTCCCAGCCTCTGGCGGACCGGATCTGGCAGCTCCATGCTCTGGCCTTGGTACTGGCTCACTGCTGCGTCTTCGGGCGCTGTGGTGCTCTGAGGTTCCCACGGCAACCGGGAGGCGAGGGCGCTGGGGGCCCGGGCGCACGCGCGGCCGCACTGCACGGCCGAGGCGTGGGGCTCCCTGGAAGGGAGAGGAGTGCGGGGGAACCCATTCCTGCTGAGCGCCTAGCCAGGTGCAAAACCGCGGATTCCTTAGTCCTATTTTAAGCTCCACCACTTGAACAACGAATAAAAAAAATAATAAATGACCTGGGGTTGGACTGTGATACAAGGAGCTCTAATAACCTTGCCAGTGAGATGCAACCTTTCTGGAAGGAAATGCAGAATGAAGGCAGAGCTTAGAGAACGTTCATGACCCAGTAGCTTATACGTGTTTGTGTGTATGTGTGTGTGTGTGTGTGTGTGTATGTATACACACACACATACTCTCTTCTAGGAATATATGTTATTATATACTAGGAATATTTCATATATATACATGCCACACACACAACTCTCTCCCAGGAATTTATGATATTAGGAACATTTTATATATATACACCATATATTACATATATATATTTGATGGAATACATTGCAGCACTTTAAAAACATGCTTGGAACGAATTTTTTTTTTTTTTTTTTGGCTGCGTTGGGTCTTCGTTGCTGCACGCGGGCTTCTTATTGCGGTGGCTTCTCTTGTTGCAGAGCACGGGCTCTAGGCACGCGGGCTTCAGTAGTTGTGGCTCTCGGGCTTTAGAGCACAAGTTCAGTAGTTGTGGCACACAGGCTTAGTTGCTCGAGGCATGTGGGATCTTCCTGGACCAGGGATAGAACCCATGTTCCCTGCATTGGCAGGCAGATTCTTAACCACTGCGCCACCAGGGAAGCCCTGAATATTTGATAATATGGATTAAATTTAAGTAAAATTAAAAACCAGAAGTAAAACTAAATAGGAATGAACCTAATTTAGTAAATGTGTGTGTAAATATGTGGGAAGCAGGGAAGGGGAGGAGATGGCACAAGCACTGCGGCTTCAAAAAAAGACTAGAAGGAAATAATCCGAAATGTTAATAGTAATTTCTAGGTAGTAGATTGTGGGTGATTTAAAAAATTTTAAACATTATGTATTTTCCAGCTTTCTCTCAAATAAGACATATTTAAAAACAAAACTATTTAGGTATAATACATATACAGAAAAGGGAACAAACCGAATATACAGGTATAACCAAAACCCAGATCAAGAAACAGAAACTTACCAGCACCCCCAGAAGCTCTCCATGCCTATTCCCTTACAGTGACTAACCCTCCACTTCTAACCGACCTTTCCTGACTTCTATAGCATAGAATAGTTTTGCCTATTTTTATTCTTTATATAAAAGTAATCATCCAATAAGTGCTTAAAAAAAACCACTAGTTCTTTGCCCTCAAAATTATTCTTATGAAATTCCTTCATTTGTTAAGTGTAGATTCTTTTTCCTTGCAGTGTGGCCGTACCACAATAAGTTTATCGATTCTACTGCTGATGAGCATCTGTGTATTTTCTAGTTTGGAGCTACTATCAGTAGTGCTGCTTTTGGTGAAAATATGCTTTGCGGTGAACATATGCATGTATTTGTGTTGAACTTGTTCCTAGGAATGAAATTGTTGGCTTATGAGGTACAACCCAGCTTTCATAGATACTGCCACTTTTCCAAAGTGGCTGTACCAATTTCTACTGCCTCCAGTGACGTATGAGCATTTCTGTTGCTCCAAATCTGTCACCAGCGCTTGTCATTTTCCATGCTTTCCTTTTAGCCATTCTGAGGGGTATGTGGTGAACAGTATTATTTTTACAATATAAAGAAAAACCACACATATTTATATAAATGTCAAGAGGAAGGTATGGGAGGAAATCACTATATGGGTAGAATTTCAAAATAATTCAACAAATGTTAATTGCATTCCTACTCATTTTGGGGCATTGTCTTAGGCTAACAGGGATATAGTCCCTCCCCATCAAGAAGAACAGCCAAGCGAGAGACGTGGAAACAAATAAGTACACTATATTTTAGTAAAGGAACATAGATGAGGAAGCAATTAATTCTGGTTGGAGATGTCAGGAAAAAGCTGGCTAACTTCTGCTTCTCTTCAAGGCGGAGCTCAGCCCTCAGCACCTCCAAAATGGCTTCTAGGACCTCCCTGAAGCTGGTTTAAGTGCCCTCCTCCGTGTTTCTCAAAGCATATTCTTCTGTGTTACTTTGGTCACAGTGCCAGTCACACTGTACTACAGTCTATTTATGTCTGTTTCTCTTGCTAGTTCACAAGCTCTTTGAGGTCAGGGATGGGCTTTCATCTTTATATCCTGAACACTAGCACAATGCCTGACCTAGAATAGGAACTAGATAACCATTGAATGAATAAAGGGAATAAAAAGTCTAAAGACCATTTCCCTATCTTCCCATTTCTAGTTCAAAGACTTAGCCAGCCTTCACTCTGTAGAATGGAGAATTGATGTATTAAAACACAGTTAACTATAGCAACCAAAACAATTTTAAACTTAGCAACAAAGAGTCAATTTTGATCTATTAAATTAACCAAGATTTTTATAAAGAGCACAGTGGAGTAGGAAGCCTCATGCTCTGCTGATTGGATTATAATTTGAACAATCTCACGGAGGAAAGCAATTAACAATGTGTACAAATTGCCTTAAAAATATTCCTGCCTTTAACACACTAATCCAGATTTTAAGCTCTATTTTGGGGAAATAATCATAAAAACAAAGTTTCATACTCCAAGATATTACTTCTAACATTATTGATTTTAGTTTAAAAAAAAAGAAAAAAGGTGGGGGGAGCATTTGAAATGCCCAACCACAGGACCTAGTTAAGCAGATTATGATATTCATGGTGAGGAGTTGGGCTGTAGTGGAAAGGATGCCTTTGGAAGCAGAGAGAGCAGTGTTCAAATCCCCTCAAATTCTCACTTCACCACCTAAGAGCTATGCGGTTGTTTTCAAACCTTTGTTTTGTAAAGTGAGGTTAGTGCTAATTTACTGTTATGGTTGATGTAAAGATTATATCATTAAATAAGGCTTTCTATAAGTGATAGCTATCATTGACACATCTATTAAAATGATATTTGTGAAGAAGAAATACCTACAATGGAGTGAAATCATGCTAGTATTTAAGTTTCTGAATTCAACTGTATCTGTGAGGCAAAACCTCTATTGCTTTCCCAGTGGATGCAATTAACCATAAAATGGTCCATGAGTGTGTCCATGAATTCTTTTTTTTTTTTGCGTGCTTGAGTTCCTTTAAAGATTTTTTTCCTAGCATTGAAAAAAAAAGTAACATATCTTGTTCAGACTGCAATTATTTCATCAAAATTCTGGAGGAAAAATTTATGGGTATTTTTACTTTTATTATTCAAATTTCCTACAATAACCATGCATTTCATAGTTTGAAATAAATCTTATTAAAAATAGAGAGGAAGGGCTTCCCTGGTGGTGCAGTGGTTGAGAGTCCGCCTGCCGATGCAGGGGACACGGGTTCGTGCCCCGGTCCGGGAAGATCCCACATGCCTCGGAGCGACTGGGCCCGTGAGCCATGGCCGCTGAGCCTGCGCGTCCGGAGCCTGTGCTCCGCAACGGGAGAGGCCACAACAGTGAGAGGCCCGCGTACCGCAAAAAAAAAAAATAGAGAGGAAGAGGAAATGATGGTACAAAAATAGAGAAGGGTTTTGAAAGGAAAAACTTGTGGTTTGGAAAGAATCCTGCCATTATTGATGTCACAAAGGGCTCGAAAAACTTTCCAAATGTTACTGTTAGTTTATTCTCACAATATTTATAAAAAGCAATCACACTGGTGAAATACTGCAGAACAAAAAAGGGAATCTACTTTTGTGGAATCAATAAACTAGTATAATTTGGGTTTCCCATATTCTAAACCTATTACTAAGGATCTAAAGAGAAGTATGGAGTCTCCATTCTCAAAATCATGGGAATCATTTCCAGCAAGATTAATAAATAATCCTGTAGAAGCAGCCACATAGCACAGGGAGATCAGCTTGGTGCTTTGTGACCACCTAGAGGGGTGGGATAGGGAGACTGGGAGGGAGACACAAGAGGGAGGAGATATGGGGATATATGTGTATGTATAGTTGATTCACTTTGTTATAAAGCAGAAACTAACACCATTGGAAGGCAATTATACTCCAATAAAGATGTAAAAAAAAAATTAATAAATAACCCTATAAAGTTAAACTGTTTACTTTTTTTCTCTCTTTTAAAGAGACAGCCTTTGTTTTAAGGATTTTTATGTTGAAGAATTCAAAAAGTGGTAGGTTTTTGGAACTTATTGATCTGTATTTAAAAGGTACAGATCAATCTGTTGACAAAGATTCACCAAAAATAATTTGAACAAGTGGGAAATTACAGTTAATACTACTAAAAGCTACTAAAATAATTCCAGGACGTGTGGTTTATCCGACATAACGATACTTCTAAGTGCTGTGACTGATATGAAACTGACTGTTTCTTACTTTTCTGAACACACAGTGGTATAATTAACAATACTCAATCACTTCTGTTCTTCCCTGAATATGTAAAAAGTAAAATACCAGTTAAAAAACTAATATATTCTTTTCTTCAAATGTTCTTTACATATACAATGTCAATATTTTCGTTCCATAGTGATGTGGTTTAAGAGGTTTTTCATTCACGAGTAAAACAGCAATCCACCCAAAGGGAAATGATAGTCTATAGGCTGACAGTGCAAATAAAGAGTTTGGGAATGCAGCAACTGGCATTTCTAAAATACAACAGATAAAATTCTAAGAAGTTACATGCAATAATCTCAACTAAGCATCTGGCCACAGAACTAGAACATTTGATAATTTTACTGGTGATTTCAGTGGGACTCCAGATGTTTCCAAACTCAACTTGAACTATCATCTTAGGCTTTGTATTTTGCTTTTCCAGCTTCACTAATGACACAAACATGATTCACATCCCCGAAGTATTCATTATAGTCAAGGGCATATCCTACAACAAACTTGGCTAGAATTTCAAATCCAACAAAGTCTGGTCTGTATCCAGCACTTCAAGGGGTCCTTTGCACCAGCAAGCTTGCAACCTTGATCATCTTTGGATTATGCTGCTTGACCAAGGAAAGCAAGGTTTTCATTGTTTTGCCAGTGTCAATTATACCTTCCACAATCAACACATTCTTTCCAGTGAAAGTTGAGAGATCATCTTCACCAATTACTTTTATGTCGCCTGTTGACTGGTCATTACAGTAGCTCTTCAGTCTGATAAAATCTACAGTCATAGGAATGGATCTATCACTATTTCTCTTCAGTACTTTGATGTAATCCAGCAGGTGAGCAAAG